GGAATGTCCACGATTGCGGTAATACCTGCAAGATTTGTTCGTACCAGCGACGCTCTTTTGGGGATTGCCAATACTTCCAAAGCCAAAGCCTGTTCAAGCACTGCGGCTCAACTTGCGTTGAGGGGAGTGTAATGGGAGTACTTCGGACCACGTGTGGGTCGTTCCTGAAGTGTTAACTCCTTGTTCCGCCCTCTAAATGGTTGGTCTGTCATCTTTTCTACTTTGCCCACTAATTCGGCTCAGGCTTGATTGCGAAAATTGCCCAGTTCTTCCATCTGCATATATTTATCCGCCCTCCTCCGTAAATCATCCATGTCGATGGGGTTTTTTTTACAAATGCTGTTAACAAAAGGCCCTGGTTTCAAGGCCGTGGTAAGGTGGTGAAGTGCTACAGTTGGATTGAGGTTCCTTATTTCAAGGGCTGCCTTGTTGAACAGATCCATGAAGGCTCGAAGTGACTCTTTCTTATCTTGCCGAATGCTGACCAATGACAGGGAGGTTAATTGGTGTGGCCGACTGGTAGCAAACTGGATGGTAAATAGTGAAGATAAAGTACTAAAGGAGTCGATAGAGTTGGGTGAAAGCCGAGTGAACTAGCTTAAAGCTCGTCCTTTCAGGGATGTCGAAAAAATCTGACATAAGGCAGCATCATCCATGGTATTCAACGTCACTTGAGTGAGGAAGACGTTGATATGTTCATCAGGATCTGTAGTACCATCATACTTATCTATTGGAAGAGCTTTCCAATGGTCTAACAGAGGTGACTGCATGATAGATGAGGTAAAGGGATGTCGATGAACGCTAACCGGTTGGACGCTTGTCGATCGTCCAATAGTCGGGACTTTTCTGGGGCGACGGCTGAAACACGAGGTGTCAAATTATGGATTTCCAAGGATTGGGACGATGCTTGTGTTTGTTCATGGGTCGACTGAGTGGGTTTCCAAGATGGGTCTTGACTTTTCAGGGCGGCGTTCTCAGCTTTTAATGCCGAAAGTTCTCTGACATCTTTCTCTCTTTGGTGCCTCATGGCGGCCATCTCCTCTTTCAGCTGACGAATAGTTTTTGAAAGGTCGGTTTCATCCACTACTTCCACACGTTCCTCTTCTCCTTCGAACCTGTGGTCTTCTGTGTTTGCCTTCCTTATCTTAGCCATTGCTTTGATTTTGTCGACTTGCTCTCCCAAAACTCTTAATTCGGCCCCACGGTGGGCGCCAAAATGTACCTGTCTGAAGGGTACACCAGTAATCTTCTCGTATTCTGAGGGCCGAACGAGAGCTCCGATCGAATATTCCGGGGTGAGGGAGGATACCTGCAAAAGGCACTCCAACGCTCAAGTCAAGACAAGCACAAATATCGATAGCAATTAATGAACAGTGACGTTACCTCGTGACATGAGCTTATTTATACTGACATTAATGAGCCCAGATTTCCATGGGCCCTGCAACAGGATTACCGTATTAGGTAATACGTCCCTAATCGGCTTATTAGTGTGATTAACCCTTAATTCTTTATTAGGGGTAATCCTTGACCACATGGTGTATTTGGTGGCCGATCGAGTGTCGGCTACCAGGTTTGGCCATTCGGTGGCCGATGGCGTGTCGGCTATATGGTGGCCGATTGCTCTTATCCGTACAATTATAATTTGAAATATCATCAGTTATTTTAATATGATAGATTTCTTCATATTTGATGGCTAATACAACTTAATTGCAAAATTAAACAAATTTTATTTACAACATTACTGAATTTTATATTTGACTTAAATTATTTATTGTATTACCCTCCTCAATCAAGTCGAGTCGATCTCTCCAACTCCCCCACAAGCCAAGCTGACCTCCCCCAACTCATCCACACTAGGCTCCTAATTTATCATCATGCACTAAAATCCTAAATGGTCAAAACCCTAAAGGCTAGCAATGTAAATATCTTTGATAAATGTCATATCTTAGCACATTATGATCACCAAACAAAATATTTTTGCTAATCCAAAACAATTTCTTCATTAATCAATGAGAATATCCTTACGCAACCAGAGGGAGATATCCCTAAGATATCATGCAACATTATCAAACATATATACGAGGCATTGGGTATCATACTACCCTAACCTAATTTTTTACCTAAACTCCCTTTTAACTTGAGCGTCAGAGTATCTTTGCAGGTACTCCCAATTGCAAACATTAGAGCAGCTGGACGACATCTTTGTCGTGGGAGCGCTTGCAAAAGTTTGGTACAAACATTTGACACCCATTATAGGTCAAAGTGAAACTATCCTTCGGCTACAAATGATTTCTACCCAAGAATGAGTAGCAAACAATATCATGGCCTCCATGCATACCATCATTGGTGGGTTCACCGATGGTGGTCCCTCAAACCCTTCATGCAAGAAACACCTCAGAATCCTTAGCAATGTAGCCATGGCATGCGGTAAAAAATTATGATCACTACCCTTCATTACTTTTATTAACAATGATTTTGTAGGGATAGACCTGAGCCATGATGATCTTATGGTCATCTCAATCCAAATTGCCAACTAGGAAGTGTAAACAACACTCATAGACCAAGGAAACTTGTCCGATGTCCTATATTGAAAAACCTTCCTCCAGATGCAGCTACCCCATGACATCATCAATCCATATTATAAAACTTTGCTAGGATTCACCGGCCATGCGAGTACGTGGAACTCTTAACCAAATTCAAAGAAAATAAACATTCCAAGTTAGTAAACATTAAATATTTACTAATAAATGCAACCGCCCCATACAACATTATTATTGAGCAACCCACACTCAGTGCCCTGGGCATCGTGATATCACACTTCACCACACCATGAAATTGCCAACTAATAATGACACTATAACTACACTCCAAGCTAACCAACATACAACAAAGTAATGCTCCATCGAAAGTCTCAAAAACACATATGTAAAGGAGATCGCTTCCACAAGTGCTAAGCAAACTACAAGATCAAACATCTTATCACCTATTATAGGCTCCAACCTTGATCCCCAATCTAAATATGAAGGCAATCACCTAACACTAATCAAAGAGTTGGAAGACCCACAAGTCGGCCCTAAGCCTAACCAATTAGCTAAGATTGGCAAACAATTGACCCCCGACATATGCTTGAACATCATCCAAAAGCTACTTAAGAACACTGACCCCTTTGCTTAGAGCAATGCAGATATGTTAGGAATCAACCTTGACTTTATATGCCATAGACTTTCTATCTATAGGCAGGCAAAGCTCATTGCCTAATGAAGATGGAAGCTTGGTAAAAAGCAAACGACAAATGATGCATGTGTGTTGACTACACAGACCTAAACAAAGTTTGTCCAAAGGACGCCTATCCATTCGTTCTACATTATGTTCCAACCAAATTACAAGAAGCAGACCTATTAACAAAGGCTGTTGAAGTCAGATTTTGAGTCTAATATTAGCAAGTTGGGAATGACTAACATCTATTCACCAGCTTGAGGGGGAGTGTTGGATGAGAATCACAAAATTTATAGGATATTATTATGTTGCAGAATTTTAGGGATTAGTGTCTACAATGTATTCTTTATTTTTGTTACTGATTTATAGGGATTCCTATTTAATTATAAGAATTGCCTATTATTTGTTTCCTTTTTTACCTATTTATGTACTAGACCAATCATTTGAATAAAATAAGAAGAATGATTTTTTCTACTTCTGATAATAGTTTAAGATATAAACCCTAAATTATTGAATTTGAGATTGAGTAAAATAAGTAATCGTTATGAAATATCGTAAGTAAGGATGTGCCAATTGAATATGAATGTTGCAACTATGTTTAATGAATCGCAAAACTCCTTGGATAAAAATGGGGTAAAGCTTAGTGGCAATAGTCCTATCTATTACTATGAAACAAGGCTCTGTGTAACTATTGCATGCTAATTAAGAGGTGCTAACATGATAATTAACTATTGATTAATAATGAATAAAATAACTAACTTGTACAACATAGTTAAAATTTAAGGATTTAAAAATCACAAAAAATGTGTTAAAAAAATATTAATCATCCCTACCATTTTTCATAGACTAAATCGGATGCTCAGTCATTTTTTTATTTTTAATTTTTTTTATCATTCTAAAAGAAGTTAATTGTTAATTTCGAACTTGTTGTAATTTAAACTTTTAACCAGAAAACAAGGTTAATGATATATACACTTCCTTTTTTTTACAAGTACACCTCTTTAATTTATTTATTTTTAAAAATTCTTAAAATATTTATAATTTGTTATTTTTAAATTTTTAATTTTACATCTCTAATTTTTAATTTACTATTTTTTCTTTTCACACACCTCCTTTTCCAGTTTTCACATGCACTATTTGTCTTCCTCTAATTTTTCACCTATTTCGGTGGGTAATTTTAGTTCTCTCGATTTTTATATTACTCTCTTATTTTCTCACCTCTTTCACTTTTTCACATGCACCCAAATCAAAGAACCGGTAAGCGACAACATTGTAGATACGTGTAACTTCCTTGATAGTTTCTATCAAATTAGACATACATTTTTTCTTTCACCCTTCCAAAAACCTTAACATTAAGTTTAGTGTTATGAAGAAGACATTTTCACTATTCTAGAGTATTGTGCCGATAGTAAAATCAGCAAGAAAACTGAAAGAGAAAGGAAAAAAGAATAATGTAAAATTAATTAAAATTACCTACAAAAATAAGTAGGGGTGAAAAAATTAAGGGGGTACATGTGAAAATAAAAAAAAGAGGTATATAAAAAAAGTGTTAAATTAAATATTAAAGTGTAAAATTAGGAAAAATAAAAAAAAATAAAAAATAAAAATATTTTAAGAATTTAATTATTTTTTAAAAAGGGGGTGTACTTATAAAAGAAAAGGAGGTGTATATATCATATCCAGAAAACCATTGTTTTAAACCAACATGCGATGGATTTAGGCCCATGATTCCGGCCCAAGCCCATCCTAAGACGGCATAGACACAGGAAGCACACACAGCGAATCACCTTTCCCGGTGAGAAAGTTTTGATTTGAAAAGTGAAATCCCAGAGAAACCTGGCGCGTCATGCTTCTGCAACTGCAACCGTAACAAACTAACCCGATCATCACCGTTCCCATTCAAACCCTAACTAACAAACCGTGCGAACCCACCGCCACAAACAAAACCCTAACCCGATGGAGAACCGAACCCAGGTTCGGTGCCCGGAGAACCAAGAGCTGGCCAACTACGTGTGGAACAAGTGGAAGGAAATGGCGCAGCAACCCAAAGGAATTTCGGACAACATGGAAATGACCCTTTCCAAGGCACACTTCAATGTCTCTACCTCCAAAACTCCGATTCGAACCATCAAAGATTTTTCTCAAGTCAAGTACGTGTTTATTTCTCCCACACTGTGTTACTGTAGAATTGCCTCGTGGTTAAAAATTATGATCATATACTACATTTTGAATACCAGTTTATGAAGGGTTGTCATGTTAGTAGTTTTTAATTTGTGCATTTTTGTCTCTGTTGTTATTTTTACATCTCTGAAGATTTGGTCTTTAATTGAGCCAAATGGTGTTGTGTGATCCGTGTAATTGATCTCGTCTGGTGAGGTAACATTTTTGTTGTGGCTGTGGTGTTTTGTTTAACCTCGTGCATGTAGAAATATGTGGTAGACTATATTAATAATTATTAGTGTGAATAGTGTATTACGGAACTCAATCTTTTTTTTTAGTTCGAAAATTATCCAAAATTTGATATATTGGTTCTGGGCCTCGGAGGTTTGAACTTTGAACTTTAGTGTAAAAGGTGTTGTTGGGTGTTTAGTGAGTGGTTCTATGTGTGTCTGTTATTGGTGTGCTTGTGAAGTGCGGAGGGTAGAAGGATGAACTGAGGATGCTTAAATTGAGTTTTGTAGGCTGCTAATCTGACAGTGCTCTTGTGTTTTCTGGAAGGGGTGTGGGGAAAATGATATTGAGGCTCATGCAGGGATTTTTTGGGACCGGTTCTGGTGGTTCTGAACCAGAAGACTTGACTAAAAAGGGTATGTCTGGTGCTATTTACTTTTTTCTCCCTGTTATTTCAATTGGCTTTACCTTTTTATTTTTTTTATAAGCATAATTCTGTCTAATTCTTTCTTCTCCAAACTTACAGGAAAGAAAACTAAAGGAACCAAAAGGTATATGCCTCAGAGGAACTCAGTGGCATATGCATTGTTGATAACCCTATACAGGTATATATAACAATAAAGTCATATGCACTACTGATGTGTGTATGTATATATATTTCTTTTGGGGTGGGGGGGGGGGGGG